ATGACCGCATTCGAATGCTAGAATCTGTGAAGCCTAATCCAACATCACTTCTTTCTTGTGGCTTGATTGGATTCCCCGTTTTTACTTTAGGTTGTCTAGGTTGACCAAACTGGATTTCTCTTAATTAGAACAGAAGTTGAGGCTACTATGGAAATTTTGTTTTAACAACTAAAATAATAGCAGTGGTTCATATGAGGTTACATTCATGTCACATATTTCACTTAGATTGTCTTTTTCAGAAAAAACATGATCCCAGGAAATATTTTCACTATTTTACTTTTTGTACCGGGGATTGAACTCGGGTTCTTGCGCTTGCAAGGCAGGCCACCGAACCGCTGAGCTAAATCCCTGGTCCCCTGACTATTTTACTTTTGAAGAAATCAAGGTTCTAGGAGGTTAAATGACTTTACTAAGTTCACACAGCTAGAAAAGTAGAGGAGCAAGATTTTAAATCCATTTCTGCGTGGCTCCTTAATCCAGGCTCTTAATGTTGAGACTTTATTATACCTCAGTGGTTCTCAATTCTGTCTATGTATCAGAACCACCTCAGGGACTTCTGAAGCCAGGGTGTGCTCAGGCCCTTGAGCTTCAGGTTAGCACAAGTACAGGGGGGGACCATTCACTTAGAACACAGTGGAGTTGTGCTCTGGGAGGACAGAAAGCTGGTGGGTTGAACTGGTTCTCCATAGATGATGCTCCCTGGACTTGCAGAACTCTTGTGGTCCTGCAGCTGAACCAAGGAAATCTAAATCTTTGGGAGTGGGGCACCCAGCACAGATACATTTTTTTAAAGCTTTATATTGCAGCCAAGGATCTGAACCACAACTGTAATCTAAACACATAGGTTATGTGTTTGGTCTGTAGGGGTGCTGACAGAATGAAAAGTATAAACCTGGAGGGATTATGATGCTGTCACACCAAATGACTACAGTCATCAGGTATTTCAGACAAAATCTTCTGTGAGGAAGACAGAACCTGGGAACACTGACCCACCCAACAAAGGCTCTATTTTTGTACTGCATTTCATAATGTAATGCAAAGTATACTGAGTAACTTCATCTGTAATTGTGACATTTACAATAATGAACTAAATCTTTTTTTAAAAATGTGTCTAACGTTTTTTACTTAGGTTTAGACCTCCAAGACAGTTTTGAGTATTGAGGAAGCCTATGCTACATACATCTCTATATAAGATTCTGTTCTATCCCCTGACAAAAATACAATGGGAGAAAAAGTGAGAACCCTAAGGACACATTTCCTATCTGGTCCTATTATGAGCAACAAATCATTCAAGTCTCAATAGATCCATAACTAATAGGTCTTACAGAGCCCAATCATATTCGACTTATACATTATGAACTGGAAAGATAATTAAGACAGCAGATGTCATATTAGAAAAGAAAGTTTAGCTACCATTAATTACACAATCTCACACTCTCCTATAATAATGGCATAATAAGGAGATTTAATTTACTGTGTTAGAAATTTCTCATGAAGGGACTATACTAAAATACTAGGTTAAGTGGCCACTTTTGAGCTTCAATAGTGAGCAAAGGGAAGATCATAAACTATTGAAATAGTCTATTGTATATAACTGACATATAACCCATTTCCATACTAAAAAGTCCTTGATTCTTCCAAAATCTTTTATTGTGGTGTTTTTCTTATTGTTTCCATAACATAGTTATTATTAAAGTAATTAAATTGGTAAACATATTTTAGCAGAGCTCTTCAAGAAATCTGTGAAATATTCCAATACCTCAAGTTTCGTTTAACCCAAAGATTCAACCAGCAGATTATAAATAAGTATTCAGACTTTATTTCTGATATCTGAGGATTTCATTTCATCCACTGCCAATCACAGTGAAATGCTTTGTGGACCAACTATGTCACCCCAGCTGGAAAGCTTAACACGGCAAAACTTTTGTAGCAAAGCATCAAAGAAAGTTCAGTTTTTACCAAGAAATTGCCAGAAGACATGCAGTTCATTCAGTGAGATCTGTGGGGCTCAGTGGCTGAGTCCTGTCTTGAGATCTTCAAGAGAAGAATCTGAATTGGATGGAACTGGCTTAGTGGCTAAGGTTCAGTCTCACTATGTCTCATTTCTTCTCAAATATTGAAAATTTATGACCATCCGAAATCCTCAGAAGGGCGTTCAGATCCCAGTTCAGGACCCAGCAGCCTCTTTGCTTTTATCTTTGCTTTCCTGTATTAATCCAAAGATTGGCCAAAACAGACCACCTATCATTTTAAGAGCCTGCTACACTTTCTTACCTACAGAATTCTGCTCATTCCCATCTTGTGAGGTGGACAGATGCCCTCTCCAGCTAATAGAATTCTAGTCTTTTCTGAAAATCAGGTGAAACATAGCCTCTTGTGATGCCAAGCAGATAAATGCCTTCTTGCCTGAACTACTGTACTTTGTTCTCTTTGTATCTAACCCTACACTAACTCCCTTAAGGACAGGGATTTTATCCTACAGAGGGCACCGGAGTGAAACATATTGATTTTATTGTGGCTTTATTTAGTTTTCCATGATTAAGAAGTTCTTGTTATTTTTGTGATCAGTAAATGAATCATATCCACCAGTTCTTACCTGTGAGCTTCTGGAGAGAAGAGGCACCTTCCATAATTTATATATAATGTAGTTATCCATTTAGTGACGTGCTTATACAAGTAGTCAGTTACAAAATGGTCCCAGACTTACAGTGGTTCAACTTACAATTTTTCAACTTTACAGTGGGCCAAAGTGATATGCATTCAGTAGAAACCATATATTGAGTTTTGATCTTTTCCTGCCCTAGTGATATGCTATACGGTACTCTGGACAGAGAGAGACGATGAACAGGAGCAGCAGCAGAGAGCTACAGCTCCCAGTCAGCCACCTGATCACAAACAACTTATGCAGCATAGTGCTGTGTTGCTAAGCTATGATGTTCAGTAAATTAGGTACATTTACATTTTGACTCACAATACAGTATTTTAAATTTATAATGAGTTCATGGGGGATATAACCCATTGTAAGTCAAGGAATTTGTGCATCAAATAAAGAGCCAAATGAACCCAGAAGAACCCACCTTGAGACCCTAGAAGGGGCAGATAGAAAAGTAAGGCCTTTTCAGTTTACATTATTAGAAGGCATGAAAAATGGTAGAGGAAGAAACATGAGAAATGAGGACCCTTGGGAGGGCATGAAACAAAGCAGTACTGAAATACTTAATCATTTCTGACCCTTGGCTGCATCTTCAAACTCCTGTTTCACTCCCAGGCTCTCACTCTGAGCCTCCTACCTGAGTGGGGTCTGGCTAGTCCCTAGCATGAGCTGTCTAGACTCCCTTCCCAAATACTGCTTTCACCAAACCTTTTCCCTGCTAAATTAGAATTCTGGCTGCTTTGCATCTTCAAGAGTTTTCCACCTGCAATTTATGGCTCTTCTTCGTCTGGCTGAGGGACACTCAACTGCCCTCTGACTACTGATCTCCAAGTTGAACTTCCCAGCAGTCATTTTCCTAACTGTTCCTCCCAGGAACATCTACCTTGTGCCTATCATTTCTGTCACCATGAATGTCCTTCTCTACCCACTCTGTCCATCTGATATTACAAACTTTTCAATATCCATCCACACTTAACTCTTGTAGTTTTTCTCTATCTTCTGTCCTGGGACTCCTGCAGCTATTCTACATGCATTATTTATTGAGAAACTGTACCAAAAACTGCCTTTTATTGTTACTCAACTTGTCTTGTGTTCATCTTCAAATCAATACATCTAATCAGTAAACTTTTATGTGTCAGGTAATAATAGGGAGAGTGCATACATAAATAAGAATAAAATGCTCTCTTGCTCCTCAATTCAGTTAAGGAGATAAAATACTAAGCACATTAACTTCAAAGTGAAAGTGTGTGCTTTAAATAAACATTCAAGGTAACACTAGAAGAGACTTCATAAGGCAGTGTATAACTAACCACCCAGTGGTATAAACAGTGCCCTCTTCACTGGGTCTCTAACAATCCTAGAAGCCTTAAGAGAGGTCTACTGTGAGGGACATAACCAATGGCCTTATCAGACCCGAAGCAAAGTTGCTGAAGGGGGAAAAGTGTAAGCAGCTTACTATGGTAGACATGTAATGGGCGACTTCTCAGGGACAGTATTGATGTGGATGTCATACATATCTAGAATAAAGCAGTCAAGGCATATTAAAGCAAGATCTCTGACTCACCTGAGTTGAAGAGGTAAGATGTAGCCACCTATAACTCTCTCTATAACCCTTATCAATGTCCAATATTTTTCCCATCCTTGATTCACTTTTTTGTTATGGTCTGTCTCCCACTCTCCCTTCCTACACAACCAGTGTAGACTCCACAAGAGCAGAGATCTGGTCAGTGTTTTCCACGCTCTGTCCTCAGAGTCTAAACAGTGCCTAGTTCATGGTAGGCATTTAACACATGTTTGCTGATTGAACAAAACTTCCTTTGTTATTTCCATGAGGGCTTGAGGGCCAACTCCCAAAGTGGAGCATGCCCTTTTTCTTCTCTTAGTGGGGTGAGACCTACTCACCATGGGGCTCTGATCTCTTCAAACACCAGTTCACAGAGTTATTTTCACTATAAGGAAGCATCTTTTAGTTAAGGACAATGGGGGATGCAGAAGGGCTGGGTTGCACTGTTCCATCTGGTGGAAACACACACATTCTGGGTCCAGTCTGAAACTTCAGCTTACTTTTCCTCGCCATTCCTACTTGTGTCCTCATTGTCTCCTTTCTTGGAACATTTTAGAGAAAAGGCCTTTTAGAATGTCAAAATGGAAAGTTTTCATTTCGTTCTGCTTAATGCCATATGAGGCTTTGGGCAGGAGTAAGCAAAATGGAAAATATATGAAATTCTGAGTGATGTGCACATTTGGCATTCAACACGGAATCATGGAAAAGATGAAAGAAGTCCACATATGATTTTTACCATTAAATGTGCGAAGAAAGAGGACAGTCCAATGAAGGATATTATTACTAAAGTAATATAATTATGGATGTGCAGTACACTTCAGCTAACAAACTTCTCTCATGATATCTGACTCTTACAAACCTAGATCTTACTTATTCAGCGTTTGACTCGTGAACATTTGTCAAGGGTCAGGAACTTTTCAGGCACAGGGAATTCTGAAAATTCATACTGGATCACAATTATAAAGGCAGGAGAGAGGTGTTCTGGGTAGCCGCATCTTATGCCCAGGAAGTGAAATCTGATCATTAAAAGCCAATCTTGGTAGTTTTACTCCTTTTGCACGACATGATTTAGCCAACTTTGTCACAACTTTGGCCAATGGGCCTGAGGAGAAACTTCTTTTGGGGTTTCTCGAAAAGAGTTTCTCCCTCTTAGAAAGGAACATTAATTACAGACATACTCTCTGCCTCTGTTGTACAATGTGTGAAAATGTATTTCTCAGAACAACTGCAGTTATTTTGGGACCATGAAGGGACAAGCCTGAAGATGTTCCAAGGATGGCAAGGTGAAGATGTGAAGAACCGAAAGCCTTGTCTCTGGTTGGATAACTAAATTACTCTGTAACCACTCACTCTGGAGTTCTTTCAAAGAGAATTTTAAACTCCCCTTACTGCCAGTCCGAGTTTAGTCTTCTGTTTCATTTTACAGACAAATGCATCCGAAATGATACATCAGTTTTCATTTTAGAAAGTTCACTGGAGGCAATGAAGCAGGTAGGTGGAAGGGGACTGGAAATGCTGGTCCGCGTATCAGGAGGAGGTTGCCATGTGAATCAGTGAGCGACAATGAAACAAGGTCTGTGGGAGGAGATGTAAGGTGAGCAGGTCTTAGAAGCCACTTGGTTGCGTGTTACAGATTACACTGAGCTTTGGGGATCGTGGTCCAGTCAACGAGATAGGGGACGGCAGGAGGAGGACACACGGAAATGCTCGGTGGAAACGATGACCTGGAGGCTGCAGATGAGATAACCAAGTCTTGCTCACTAGGCTGCATAGTCTGTATGATGTGGACCTTGTGCATGTTCTTTACTATCAATTTCTCCTTGCCATATTGCAGGCTGCCAGTAAGGATGCTTTAGAAGAAGTGAGTGAGGCTCAGAAAGAAAAAATATGCATGTATTTGTACATATAGTTAGAAATGCTGAAGCCAGAACATACACTCAGGCCTTTAATTCTCCCCAGCACAAACCAACAAATTAGAAAGAAGTTTCATCCTGGATTCTGAAGCAAAGGAAGAAACTCTTCATTGGCAGATGTGCCGTAAGAGTGGGCTCATTCTCTTAGGTTAATGAAGAGGGCATTTGATCTTTCGCATTTTGTGAAAGATTCTCTTAATATAAGATGTTCAAGAAGACACATTCAGGGACATCTGAGAACCCTGTACTGTACCTCAGGGCCAACATATAATGAACAGACTTCTCTTATTCTAATCTGGAGAATGAGGCAAAAAATGTAACATTTATACTCTGTCCACTATCTGCAGTGAATAGAGGCTAACTTAAAAATCTCTCTAAGATCACTTTTAAGTTACTGTTGTAGTGTCTTTGAAAGCCTCAGGGAATAACTGTTCACCATTTTGTGTAGTGGAATTATTATTCCTCCTCAAATATTTAAAAAGTCTTTTTTTGGCTTTTCTCAACATTCTTTATTTTTTCCACATATCTAATCCAAGGCATCCAAGTTTTGTTAAGAAAATAATTATTTTCAGGTTTTTTTTGTTTCTTGTCTCAAGTGAGAATTACAAACATTTAAATATTTTCCCAAACTGAACAAAAGGCTGTGGAGGAGGCAAACTAGTAAATGTTGTAGACTTTAAACTCAGAAAGCTCATCACTAGCCATTGGAAGCAGGAGGCACATTAATAATTAAAGAACAATGCCATCATGTGTGATTATGGCATAATCAGGGCCGGATTATGGTATAAGGACTAGAAATGGCCCAGGGATTAAGAAAACAGAGGCATCTCACGGGCTGACAAAGAATTCATAAACACAATGAGTGCAGAGTCCCTTAAAGAGCCTCTGGGCCCTGCGGGTTTGGAGGGAAGAGCAGGTGCGTGGAAGAGGTGGAAACTGGGGGAAGCTGGAGTATCATGGTTTAGATCATGGAGTTTATGCGGAAAGCATATCCAAGACACTTTTTAAAACTATGTTTTCCTCTAAGTGCTTATTTTTATGTTGAGCATTATCCTACTGAGTAAGTGAAATCTGGATTTCATCCAGAGGGTGAAGGGCTTCTTCCCTCCTCCCCCCAGAATGATCCTTTCATAAACTGATGTGCCTTCTAGAAATAAAATCATGTCGGATTTTAATTTTATCTGTACTCTTTATTAGTATTTTGCTATTCTGTGCCCATGGGACATCAAGCAAACTGGGGCCTAGGCACAGTAGGATCACCTCAGATTATTGACATTTAATAGGGTTAGAATATGGTAGGAGTTCAATAAATGCTTGTTGAATCAATGGGAGAAGTGGAAGAAAAGGAGAAAGAAAGAGATTAGATGGAATTTGGAAATGTTACTTTTTATTCACTTTTTGAAAATTAGGTAAGAAGTTACTTAAATCATAATTTAAATAGTATTTTCAATCTTATTTTTAGCTTTAAATTATTTTTTAAGAAGAGAGTATATAACTTATATATTTTTATTTTCTTTTTCAGGTAAATTATGATTTTTTTCTAAAGTTCTTAAAAATTTTTGAACAGATAATAAGAGTTAAAACATGAGCAGTTCTTTTGTTTTTTCCAGGAATAGTCCACATTTGAAATATCAAGAGCCAGCTTATGATAGTTATGGTGGGAAATCAGCAATACTTTGGTTCATTCTTATAAAACTCTAAAGGAAAGTTAAAAAGAACTCCAGGAAATATTTATACTACTCTGCATGAACTACTGAATATATATAAACTTTTCTGATCTACAGAGGTAGAGAGGGGAGTAGAATAAAGAATGTGAAAAGAAATAATTACTTATTTACAATAACGAACTCCTTTTTCCCAGAGGTAAGTTATTTTGGAGCAAGAGCAAACTGGAATTCTTTGCATAAGCAAGAGCTGAGTAATGTAAACATTTTAGATACTGCCAGCGATTTGAAAGACCATCTCAGCATTCCAGACTGCCCTGGGTTGCTGCATATTGTGGGAAAAGGGCCACCAACTTTGACACTAAAAGGGTCCATTCTCAGGGCACTCAGGCCCCTAGAGATGGGTAGGCTTGTGCAAGTCATGTATTCCCTGTGACTGTTTTTTCATCTGAAGGGATAATCATACCTACTTCACCAATAATATAGAATATATATGTGTATTTAAGATTTTTAAAAGCCTTTTATGAAGATACTATATGTTTTAAAAGCATATTTTAGGGGTTCAAGTTTATAATAATTTTTCATAACAAAAAGTAGAAAGAGGACTGGGGATTTAGCTCAGCGGTTCGGTGGCCTGCCTTGCAAGCGCAAGGACCAGAGTTCAATCCCTGGTACCAAAAAAAAAAAAAAGTAGAAAGAGCTTTCTTTTATTCCAGTAAGATGATTCAAATTGGCTCTGTTTATTATGTGTATAGTTAACCATATTTTAAAATTCTCTTAAGGCAACATTTCCATTTACAATGGTGTGCTGGAAATATAGCTCAGTGGTGTCAGTGCCTGCCTTGCAAGAGCAAGGTCCCGAGTTCGATCCCAGGGACCAGAAAAAAAAAAAATTTTACAATGGCGTTTTCCCTAAGACACTTTACAGAAATGTCATGGACAAGCACAACTGAAGTATAGAGAAGTGAGTTTGCCCTGTAAGGTGTACAGAATCATTTATTTGAAATTTAAATTATTCCTGAGCCTTAAACTTTTCAATAAGAATTTTTTTTTTTTTTTTTTTTTTGGTACTGGGGATTGAACTTGGGACCTTGGGCTTACAAGGCAGGTGGCAGCACTGCTGAGCTAAATCCCCAGCCCTGAAAAAGAAATTCTTAAAATTTGAGAACCCCTAAGTAAGCCCTGGGTTGTAGCTACGAGGGAAGAAATGGTAGATCAGGCTGAATTAGAACGCAGACCTACGGGGGCAAAAAAATCTCCTAACTGCCTTGACCTGGTATTTTTTGAATTTTTATGAATTTTTCTACTTTACATGCAGAAAAAAGAAAAGCTTGTGTGGGATGGACCGGGAAACATTGTTTTTATACCCGTGAAATGTTTTGCAGCCACAGAAGAAATCATGAAAATGGTAATGTCAAACTGTTCAAAGGCTGGGCTTCCTGTTTGTATTAACAAATACAGAACAATTTGTAGACTGGTACAATTTTTTTTATAATGGATATGATGTGTTCAAGGAACAACCTCTCATTCTAAGTACTTAATATCACCCTGTTCCATGCCCATCCTGGGCAAAATCACGACAACATCCATCTTCATTTTCTTTGAGGCTGTTCTGCCCTCTACTCCTGTTACCCTCCCAAATTTATTTCTGTTTCATAATTGCATTCCTGTCCCAAGGGCTTGGGGCTTCTCCTCAGGGTATGGGCAGGCCAATTGCTATGCAACCTCTTAACAGAAGTTTTTGCATTAAAGAAAAACACAATTAACAGGATGCACCCACCCTACTGGCAAAATTTTACTTACTGCAGTATTTGGGTTGGTGATGGTTTCCTAGCACGGAACTAGAATTAGAAGGCTATTAGTAGCAACAATTGCCTTCTACTGTATTTTTCACATTTTGGTTATGAAACCACAGTACTATAATCATCAAATATCTCTTTAAAAATTAACAAAATAACTTATTTCTAGACCCAATCCTATAATCATTAGATCAGAATCTCTGTGAGTAAAATGAAAGGGCATATGGTAAACAAATACAAGGTGAGTCCCATCATCCCAGTTTTGGAAATCATGAGGTAATTATGTCATAGACATTTGCTTAGGGTTTCTATGTATCACTGGCTCATCAGAGCATTGTGTCTGGGAACATCTATTTCAACATCTGTTTCATCTTTTGGTCTTACCAGGCACTCCAGCTTGGATCCAGAAGTTAATGTCTGTCCCCTCTGCATCCCTGAAGAGCTGGGTGATGTTGAGGGGCTGCAGTAGCTTCATAACCTCCTCCATGATGGCCCTGGCCTTCTCACTACCGGTAAATTGCAGCCCAGTGGGTAAGAAAGTGCCCTGGTCAGACTCCATCACCAGACTATAGTTGGAGATATTTATCTAAACAAAAGAAAAAAAATGTTTGATTCATATCTGTTGCTTCAGTGCTTTTTCCTTGGGAACTATTAAACTGTAATAACCAAATATTTTACCTCCTCACAAGTTGTTACCCAAATATATGCTACTCTGCCTGACTTAGGATCTGGTTTACATATTACCTAATGGTTCTGAGATGCATAATTACTCACCGTAGAATTTGTCAAACTCAACAGGTGACTTGAAAGGATTTGAAAAAGCACAATAAAGGGAAAGTTAAGATTGCTCAATTATTTCTACTAGTACTGACATTCTATCAATCAATTCTCTTAAGTGTCTACTGTGTACTAGAACAACTCTTCCTTTATAGCAGGGATCTCCAGAGTGTTAGCCATGCTCAAACAAAAGAAATTATGCTCTGTGGGCTTATTTCTGCACCTCTTTCCTCTAAAGAGATACCATATCTTATTTTAATTGTGAGTTTTGCTGTACCTAAAGGGCATCAAACTGACAGGTTTGTCTTTGGTTTCTGATTCTGTTATTGTTCAATCTATCTAATCCCCAAGGAGGGCAGTAATAGAACAAGACACAGCACTCTAATCCCAGGTATCTCTGCCAGACCATCAGTTTGTAAACTCCTTCCAAGTCAAGCCTGGTGAGAAAGCACATAGTGATTTCATGTAGCCAGTACAGTCACTGCAGGAGCTTAAAACATCACAGGCTCTGGACAGGTTGCACAGCTAAACTGTTTCCCAGCTTTGACTTTCAAGTTTAAGATTTGTCAAGCTGGCCAGAACTTCTGTTTTCTAGGAGCCAACTCCTTCTCGAAAACTGATCAGCTCCCACCTTTGTTGAGTTATTCCCAAGCTATCCTTGGACAGCACTGCTACTCGTTCCTCATTACTCATCTGGTACAAATCAATAGTAACATTTGTACAGTGCTTCCAGAGAGCTTTCACATTTGCAGTCTTCTTTGGTTTTCTTTGACAACCCATAAAACAGACAAAGCCGCTTTATTGTTGATGCATTTTTATAGGAAAGGACCTGAGGATCAGAAAAGTCAAGTGATTTGCTCAAAGCCGCACAGCTGGCAAGTGGTAGTGCCTGCTCTGAAATCCAACACAACGCACTGCCATTTCTAGCATGCGACTGGAGTGATAAGTAACACTTGTTCAGCATTAAAATGATTTTTCACTTACATAACAATTTGAGGGTTGCATAAGTAATTTTTCCTAAAGCAGATTCTACTTTAGAGTGATTCCCTAACATTCACTGTGAAAGTATAGTTATACCACAAAGGCAAGGGCAGCTGTGGGCTCTCAGAGAGGATGCTTCCACATTTATAGGACTGCACTTAAGGCCCAGGGATACCAGCATTTTTGTTGTCATTGTTAATGATGAGACAGTTAACAAAGCAGAAGCCTGCTCATATTTCCGCTGTCATTTCTAAGGAATTTCTGGGAAAGACCCAAGGCATTCTTAATAAAAGGGCCATCTCAGTTTCAGCTGTGGCTTCTGCATTATGGTAGCATCATTAGAGTTAACAGGATGCAAAAGCCTTGCCTTTGTGTCCTATATTCAGAGCTCATTTAACTACATGCTGCTGCTAGGTCAGCAGGTGGATGTGCAGTTTGGCAGTCCTTGCTCTCTTCCCTTGTAGGCCTTGCTAAATACCCACTCCAAAGTCTGCCTCCATTGCAAAAAGGAGAAAAGAAAAAAAATCACAACACACCTTGCAAATGAAAACAAAATTGGGCAATCTCATATGTAAAGATTCTTATATTGCAGGCAGATCCCATGTTTCCAAAAAGAAAGTCAGGCAAAATGCTCCTAATTATGTACTATTTAGGTTAAAAGTGGACCCAGTTAGCAGTTTAGCTGTCAGACCCAACACTAATGAGCAGCCTGGTGAGGTGAATACAGCCTTGGACCCAGTCTGTTCTATTCCTGACACAGCAACTGACACTCTGGGCTACAAAGGCGGGTAGTGACTGGCCTCTCCTTGTCTACCCAAATCATTTCACCTTGGCCCTTGGCTTCTTCAACTGCAAGCTTGGACAAATGCTCTCTCCTAAGCTTAAATAATGAAAGTGTACATAGGGATCTTCTATAAACGTTAAAGAAAAGGGCTCTGTAGACCAAAGTCAAAACGGTTGCATGAATAGAACTTACCAAGGCTTCTAACAACATGTTCATTAAGTGTTTCCTGGCCTTCTTTAACTACAAATGAATATATGGCCTAGGAACACAGAATATCACAATTAGGGCAGGTCACTGTGCACTATACAGGATGTCGACAGGCATGAGGGAAGGCTGTAAATGCAGGAGCTTCCAAAGGTGTCTCAGGCCACATATCTGGTAGCATTTTAGCAGAGGAAGGAAGTGCATGGATTTTGAAATAACCCGCACTGATCCAGTCTTCGTGTTAACCACTTCTTAGCTGTATGACTTTGGGAACTCTATACATAATCTCTGTTTCTGCCTCCATGACCTGGGATGATAAGGGTACCCAGCTCATGGAGATGTGAGAAACTGCATTGTAGGGCAGGTAGCATTTTTGTGGGGCTTCTTAGAAGACAGACACTGCACGAATGCCTTGCAGCTCGTCCCTTGAACTGTTCAGATAAATGCAATTGTATTCTCATTTCACAGAGTGGCCACTGAAGTTTAGTTAGGTTATCATTTCCCTAGAGGACCTACCTAGTAAGCAGTGCAACCAAAACTCACACCCAGAGGTCTGCCTCCCTTGGCCCATGTTCTCCACCTTCCACTCCCCTGTCTCCTAAGGCTCACTTCCAACCTTCAAACCACAGGTCAGAAACACCGAGACTCCAGTTAAACAAATACATCAATTTTTAAAAGGTTTTTTCATGATTATAATAGAGGTCTACTTGTATATACTAATTTCACAATGAGGGAGGAGTGAAAAAAAAATCTTACTCCAGAGTTTCTTTCCAACTATGAATAAAAAGCTTAAAATAATAAAATAGCTTGTCAAGCCAAATAAGACCAGTTGTGTAGATATCAGTAGCTCACAATTCTGCAGTAGGTAGAGATCCGTTTGATTTCCACTCATGTATGACTGTATTAGCTGGCACTGGTATGATGGCAGTTCTATTGTTTTCTATTTATATCTAAACATCTCCATATGTTTTCAAAAAAACGATAAGAAAACAAACCACCCACCATCCACGTCACTGCCTTTCCTCCTCATTTATGGAGTCATTATCTAATCATTAGCACATGGTGAAGGAGTTGGGAAAACAAAATGTCTCTGCACAAAGAAACTGAAATGAATAGCTGGGTCACTGGGCTGTCAGAACTACTGCTTCTCAGGAATGTGTCATCACAAACATCCAGATTCCCTAGTATGCGTGAGCTGTTGGAAGTGTAGATGTGAAAACCTGATTATTGCTAGTGACAGGGAGGGGGACCACGCTCATTTTTCTCACTCCTTTGTAGCACATGTAACAAGATACTCATCCTCTGATTTACAGGATGTGTGAAGAAACACACTTCTAAAGGCTGCATGCTTTATGGGTGAGATAACCAGCCCTGCTGAGACAAGCCGTGGCACATAGGTGAGGAGGCCTAGCAGCTCAGTGATAAGCTCAGATATTATCTATGCCTCCCCTTTGTTTTCTCAATAAAGGAAACATCTCTCTATTGGGATCCATGGAAACTCATTCATTACCACGTAATACATAGGACACAATGTAGAAAGATGCTTCTGGGTGATCTCCTAGGTTGGGATCACTGGATTAGTTTATACCTGCTCAGGGCTGACGATTCATAACTTTGTCATGTGCTACAATCACATCCTATACTTTTTTTTTAAAGCATCAGACTACTCTGCCATAAAACAATTTGGTAACTATTAGCATTCTTTGGGTGCAACACAAGATTAAAATGAAGAAAACTGTTTAAAATACATGTTGCATGCTTTAAAATTCTTACTTCCTAATATAAACACAAGGATGATGTTTGTGCTTTTTGCTGTTATAAAATTCCAGGCAATGGCTGCTTCCTTGTTCAATTTCAGTATACCTTTGGTTTGGACCTAAAATGAACATGAAATCCTAAAATTAAATGTAAGGGGGAAAGCTCCCTGATTATTCAAATCAATCATGTAGCCTCCTCAGTTCAATCTTCAAAAAATAAAGAAAGAAAGAAAATAAAGAAAGTCCACATTTAACCGGGCATCAGCCTCACCCCACTAAATGTTGATATTTTACAGATGATGGTGGTGATGCTGTTTGATCGGGCGGTGGGCTCAAAACAAGTTTTGAAAAGCAGATCATCTCATGACATGTGTGCTGAGCAGCTGTGATCAGCTTTGCCAGCTGTGCCACTGGTCCTGGAATTGCCTTTTTTAAGGGTGAATATAGCGGTTCTTCCAAAAGCAGCAGCTCAAAGCATTGTCATAATCAGATAACAGGTAAAGAGGTTTCTCCTGCTATGCAGAGCCAAATACAGGCTTTGCTTTCTGGTTAGGTGTACCCTGAAGTTCACACTTTTATCTCTGATGGTCTCCAGCATTCGGTTTTGAGCAGCTCTGAGTACCCAAGGGAGATCTAGGAACAGAATGACAACAAGAGGCAGTGCCATAAGTTATTTTCATGTGACAGCTAAGCTGGCTGCAGCATGGGGACACGGGCAATGCTGGGCAAGTTACATCAATCCTGACATTGCAGGTACCTACTGTCGGTTAGCCACCACTTTGCCTGGAGATGGAGAACAGAATGAGTGGCTCCTGGGGACCCCTTTCCAGCCCCATCACTCAGTGTGTGCACACAGAGGTGTTCTGTCGAGACACAAACCTGCCTTTTCGGGAATTCCATTTTTACATTGTCATTTGAAGTACTCTAGATATCTGTCAGTGAATTCTCCTCTTGTGCTAGTCAAGGTCCTGAATGATCCTTAAACTTACTGAAAACATATGACCCCTCCATAAACATCACTATGGCAACAAGAGTACACAGTTTTAGCCTTAAAACTGTGGCATGAACATTGGCTGAAAGATG